AATTATAATTAATATACAGGGTGAGTATTTAATAAGTGCAAATATTTTTAGGAGTTAGTAGTATGAGTTTTTTTTTCGCGAAAAAAAACATGCGAAAAAAAAACATTTTATGTTTTTTTTTTGTTTTTAGTTAAAAACATAATTTATTGACAATATGGCAACAAAAGTAGACATTAAATTACAAGAACGATTATACAGAAAAGATCCAGTGGTTCCCAAAATTTTAAGAATTTCTTTTTTCAAATTTTCAAAGTAAGATAACTCTGTTATTGTGGATTTATTTGAAAAACGGAACAGAAAAAAATATGCTTCGTTTATCAAGATATTTACAGTGATTTAAGATTCACCTGGTATATTATATATTTTTAGTAGTTCCCATTTAAGCATTATTTAATGTTTATCACTATGACTCTAGATTACGGTCTAATTTTAAATACTAGTTTTTACTAGTCTTAATAACAGTAATAAACCAAATTGTGTGTTTTTTTTAATAAATTCAAACCATTTATATTCAAAATACAAATTTTGAAAAATCTCACCGGATTAGGGGAAGGGGGAAGATTAGAAGTGAAATCTCACGACGCGACGTCTCACCAAGGACTTTCAAAAACTGCGACTGACTGATTTGGAAGTTATTACAAATTTTGTTGCAAATATTATTCCTAATCTCAAATTGAAAACCGTGTTTCCCTAACTACTGTAATTTCGGAGTGACGATTTTTTTAAATATTTAACCCCCTCCCATACCTCCTTACGAACCCCCCATCCCCACCAAAAACTAATAGCCAGATTCTCGGTTGCCACAGTATTTTTGTGCCAAATTTGGTTAAAATCGATTTAGCGGTTTTTGAGTTATCGTGTTACAGACAGACGGACAGACGGACAGACGGACAGACGGACAGACGGACAGACGGACAGACGGACAGACGGACACCATAAAAATATTTTGTATTTAGGTCATTTATGACCCAAATAACTCATTTTGAGTGAAATTAAAAAGGCTCTTTTTGCTGATCTTAATAACCTATTGCTATGATCGGCTAAAATAGTATATATTTGGAGAAGCTCCCTCCTCCTGGTGAGTCGTCTTGAGATTTGACTCGACCCCCCCCCTTTCTCCTAATCTCAAGTGATATCTTTCAAATTTGTATTTTGAGTATAAGTGCGTTGGATTTATTTAAAAAAACACAAAATTTGCTTTATTATTTTTATTAAAACTAGTATTTGGGACCAGTGGAATTTGCAATTTTAGAACAAGTAAAAACTTTTATAAAAAATGCAATACGAAATATGAACAATAAAAAAAGCTTGTCCTCTTGTACTGTATAAAAATCTAAGTCCTCTTGTACTGTATAAAAATCTAAGAAAAAAATTGTGTGAACAACTGATTCCCAATGACAATGAGATTTTAAAATTCACTAATTAAGGAATGAATCAAACATCAAATCCGTTAAACAATTGCCATCATTATAAATGTAATGATCACTTTGTTTTAAATTCACAGAAATGCCGATATTTTTAAGAGATTATTAAAATAAACAAAAGAAGAATGTTTCTAACAAATACCTTTAATAAATTAAACATCTTATTACAATGGAAGGCGCATGAAGAAATAAAAATAATAAACTTCAATTTTCTTTGATTTTTTCCAGTACTGAGAATATTTTCATCACTTTAAACATAATAATAGTTCTATATATAAAACAATCTCAACTTATAATTTATTTAAAACAAGAATACTTCTTTAATAATTATACACAAAATCGGTTGAGAGAATCCGTATGCATTCAGTCAGCTTTGTCAGTTAGCTCATGACAAAATCAGAACATATTAAACCAATATCTACTCATATCACATATTAACCGTTGGTCTAACCAAACAAAAATAATTTTAGAAGGAAATATTTTTGTCTAATTATTTGCCTCTCATTATAATTTGAACTTTATATTGGATTTTATGACAGATAATATATTATTTAATTTTCGATCAAATTATATATTTAAAATTACAAGCACCCTCTTACTTAAGTCTGATTAGTTTTAAAAAGGACAAGACATTTTTATTAAAAAATTAAAAGTTTGAAATTTCCTTTTTTTTATTCAGGGAGTTTTAATAGTTTTGTTTCATTTAGACTCAATTTGAGAGTTTTAAAATGAATCCGATAATATGAAATTTTAAAACCCCATTTGTGTTGAATTTTTCGAGCAAAAATATTATGACAAATCCACTGAAAAAAAACAACATATAGCATTCCATTTAAAAAACCTAAAACAGTCTCACTTGATGCAATCAGAAATATTTTTAAGTTAGAAATAAACAATAGATAGTTACGATACAAGTGAGTTAACAGCATCATTAAGATACGCGTGTTGCACGAGTGCGTAGCACGAGTTGTGTAACCACAAAAGTATCTTAATGGAGTTAACTCGCGTGTACTGTACAATATTTTATCTACGTCTAACTATAAAAACACACAATGAATTTTAAAAAGTATTGTAATTAACTATATACCTATCCTAAAAATCAAATACCTCAATACCTTTGTTCAAATAACACCATGCATGGCAATGTCAATAAGACCAGGGCCGGCGGAAGGGCCGGGCGACCCGGGCGACTGCCCGGGGCGCCGAATGCGAGGGGCGCCACGCCAGCAACTAAAATATTAAAAAAAAAAAAATGTTCGTGGTATTTTACTTATAACTGAAAAGCTATCAACTTTTTGTAAATAACGTTTCTTTCTATAATTCTTGTTTTTATAAAATTTCTCTAAACAAACTGTTTTGGGTCAAGAGCCAGCAAAGTTGACAGTTTTAGACTGCTTGTTGCTCAAAATTGCACTTTGCTTAGTACCCACACCCTTTATTTGTTAATGGGTGATCTGCCCTAAAATTATATGAGACAAATATTCATTCGCAAGAAGCTAAATAGGATCCCGAATCCTTATTATCAAAAAAAAAGCTTCATTACTTTATTAACAGTAGTGGGAAAAACGTCAATCTTTTGGTGATTTTGATTGTTCTGGATTGAATATGTAGTAATACATGGTAAATGGTATCAGAATCGTAGAAATTTCTCATTAGAGCAAGACAAATAAATGCATCTCAAATCTGAAACACTGGCTGATCCTCATTTTGAAGCCGACAGAACTGTATCTGATCATACCTATACTGATTTTGCACGAAATAATTAAAAGAAAAAAAAATTCTTAAATTTTTATAGAAAAATAATGCTATTGCTTGCAACTAAATAGTAATGTTTTCAAAGATCACTTATACTTATCATTTATATACCGGGTGCGTCTCAAAACTGGATCACTCCTATAACTTGTTTATTTTTTCAGATGAAAAAACGAGATTTGGATGTTAGTATACGACATAAATTAGGATTAATTGACGTATTCAATTGTTTTTGATCACTTCCTCTTTCACCGGAAATTAACAAAACTTTTGATTTTTAAATGTCAATCTCGGTATATTTCTACTTTATACGATAGAAAATGACAATCTGAATAGAATGACATTTTCGCATATGGATTATTTGAAATTGTAACATACGGTTCATAACGACAATGTGACTCGAAATATCAAGTGTGTGGTACAAAATTATTCGTAAAAAACCCTTTTTCCAAAAATGCAAATGAGCCACTTGTTCCATTTGAAAAATTGGCATATGATTAAAAATACGATTTGGGCATTTTTTAACCGACCATGACAAGACACGAACAATATTAGACGATCAAATCTATTCTTCCAAGGCTCCTTGTTTAAAAATTAGTGTTTTTAACACAGCCATGGCACTCTAGATTGAAATTTAAAATACGATTTTTTGAGCAAAAATGTCGAAAGTTGACATATGATATGTCATTCTACTCAGAGAGTCATTTTCTATCGAATAAACCAGAAATATACTGACGGTGCCATTTAAAAATCAATAGTCTTTCGTTGAAACAGGAAGTGACCAAAAACAATTGAATACGTCAATCAATCCTAATTTATGTTATATACTAACATACCAAATTTCGTTTTTTATCTAAAAAAATAAACTTTCAAGATGCACCCGGTATAGAAAAAACAACCGCGGACTAAGATTGAACGAAGAGAAGAATTTGATTTGTACCTTTAAGTGAAATTTTATTGTTAAAGTAGCATAAATATGCTTAGTTGTTATGGTAACATGTTAACTATTTGGGGGGGGCGGGGGGCGCCAGGTAGGGTATTCGCTCGGTCGAAATATTTCCCTTCCGCCAGCCCTGAATAAGACAGTAAATAATATTGATGTCACTAGTTTAAAAAATGAGCGATTCGGAAAGTATTCCCTCTGACATTGAAGAAAAGGCATTCAGAGCCATTTCTGGATTGCTTCGAGCAAGATCGAAACAGAAGTATGAATATACGTACTCTAAGTATGAAAAATGGTGCACCGAAAAGAAAGTACACAACTGTGGAAATGAAAAACCTCGTGAAAAACTCATAACTTATTTTTCCAATTTGTCCGCTACTTATAAGCCTTCGTCTCTTTGGGATTTCTATTCAATGATACGTACTATGATATCCATTAAAATAAATATAATATATACTTCATGAGGCATTTACTTGATTAAGATTGTTCAAACTGTATCATTAACATTTATAATAAATAAGTTTTCATATTTTTATAATTATTATCAAACAACAGTTTAATAATTGTATTTAGTAGGTATTTAGTGCAAAATAAATGTTTTACAAAATATTTTTTTCTATTTGGTAGTCATCTAAACAAGGAGAGCGGTAATGAAAATGCGTGACTTAAGAGCTCTTAACTCACTCAAAATGCGTGAGTTAAGAGTAGGGAATGCAATCTCGCAAATGCTGGATCCCGCAAATGCGGGGTCCCTCTGAGATTCCGCGGGGTCAAAGTAGCGGGATTTACCGTGCGGAATCTGCGGTTACTTGGATCGACACATTACTATTGGGTAAATTAATCGATCTCAGTCAAGATCATCAAACCGTTCCGGGCTGATGCGTCGACGCTCGGAACCTGGGGGATTCCCCTTACGACTTGGCCATTAAAAATAAGTGAAACAAACAGGTTAGTTAGTTGTTAGATTTCTTTCTGGCCTATAAGGGTAAGGCCTGGTATGGACGGGTAGTGAAGAAAGTATTGCCTGGTAAGTGAAGAAAAGCGTTTAACTAGTACTTGTGGACAATTTCGTCAAATAAACTGCCTGATATAATTATCGGGACAAGCAAAAATTTAGGGTAAATTTAAAGTTGTATATCTCTTGAACTAAAAAAGATTTTGGGATGCGGTTTGGACCAGGTTTTAGATGCATCTATTGTGATTAAGATGCTATGTGGTTTTCGAAAATATATTTAGTGAATTCTCGTATACAGGGTATTTTATAAGAATGTGAAAATTTGGTCAAAAATCTTTTTTACCGCAAATTTACAAATTTTAAAAAATCGAAATTTTAATCTGTATTGAAATTAGAGAAAACAATTTGAACGGTTTTTTTTTGTTTTAAAGAAAATACGACGTTTTTTCGAAAAATATGCATTTTTAGTCATAGGTATGTTCCTAAATGGTACAAAAAGCTTTGTACATTCTGCAAATGCCAAAAAATTATTGATATAGAGTGTATCTAAAAGCAGATAACTAACACAAGTTAAAAAAACTTCAACGTCAGAATAATATTTTTATTTATAAAATAAGTAGATAAAATATAATAAAATTAAACACTCACTTGTGAGAATTTGTATACATCGGTCCAAATTTCTGTACAGATAGTTTAAGATACACGCTATATCAATATATTGTGGGCCTATGCAAAATGTACAATGCCTTTTGTACCATTTAGAACCAAATGTATGACTATTGTTTACAGTCCCGCAATTTTGCGGATCCGCGGGATTGATTGCTTTAATCCCGCGGGTTTGCGGGATTGAGATTTTGGTGCGGGATTGCATTCCCTAGTTAAGAGCTCCTTAACTCACTGACGTAGATAAATATTATTACCGTATATTTTGTAAAAAATATATTGAACAGTTCGTCACATCCTGACAAAACATGTATATTGTATAATAACATTTTTTTAACTTATATTTTAGGAAGTGTAGTGATGGTGTATAGTGCAAAATAATTGTGAAACTCGTTTAAATTCTTGTGGTATATAAGTTTATTTTCCTTTATATCTTTCATTTTAGCACAACACAAAATTTGTCTGTAATAATAATTGTGTTAAGCTTCATTCAGAACCTCCCAATTAGTGGAATAAATTAGTGGTTTCAATTACACTTTATACTTTTTAGTTTATGATCATTCACAATGTCTAAAAAACACAATTAAAATTAATGAAATATCCTAGTAACAGCTTGCGGCAGTCTGTTGTATCCATAGAGAAAGCATAATATTTACCTTATAAATTGTATATTTTGATTTCTAACCAAAATTTTGCTTGACGGGTTATAATCAAAGACCAAAATGACATTACTCGCAAATTTTAAAGTATTATTAGTGGAAAAGTTAAAAGTTTGTTAACTTTTTTCAATAATTGAAAATTACTACCACTAATTATGACGTTCTGAATGGTTACATTAAAATTAGGTGAACGAACTTCTAATGAAATTGAAATTACTAATTTATTCCACTGATTTCGAGGTTCTGAATGAAGCTTTAGTATAATGTTTTGGAAATATTACTATTGAAATGTAACTCATGAAAAATATGCTTTATCGAAAAAAAAATTGGGTTCCGAATGTAAGAAGACAAATTTTGCAGAAGCTTTTCAGAAAGAGAAAAACTAACATAATGATTAATATAAAGTATATGAGAAAGTACTTAAATATTGATTCTTCTGAATAAAATATAATATTATTGGTATTTGTGTAGTGATTAGAGAACGAAAGACAATTTTGATAATAAACTTTAATGAAACTTCATAACAGATAAGTTAAAAATTTGTTATTTCAATATTACTCATTATTACTACACACCTATTTAGCTTCAAAATAAAATATACTTTTATATTTTCAGGAAGAATACTGCATGATGAACCAAGAGGAAAAATTAAAGAAAAGAAAATCTTTATTTTATCGATACTGATCATGGCAAAATTGATAAAGGTCAAAATTATATTGGCGGTAGTTTTCTTTGTACTACTATCAATCAAAACCGTTATTTTGGTAGCTGCAGTCACATTCCCGACGATCCTCAACAATATTAAGCACTCTTGCCAACATCACCAGCAAAAAACAATAATAGAAGAAGTTAAACCTAGCAATTCCTGGTTTGGGTAAGCCTTATTTTCTTTTAATGAAAAAAATACAAATTTATTGTTATTTTAGTTTACTGTTAGATGGTTTAGCTGCACTAAAACACAAAGTTCATTAAAAAGTAATTACTTAAAATATGCAAACAAATGTAAGAAAGTAGAATTAGAAAAATTGAGAAAAGCATAAAACTAGATGCATAATAAATATAAGTTTTTAGCAAATATATAGTTTACTCGGCTTTCAGTATACTAATTAGGTTTAGATCAAAGTTTTTTGCTAAATACTGAATAAGTTATATCATATTTCTTTAGATTTAAAATATGCAATTATGTACCTACTTTTAAGAAAATAATTAAAAATGTTTATTTCTTACTGAATTAATAGCGCATGTTTACAGAGCATGCGCACATGAAAATAATGCTGAATATTTCCTCCTGCGCAAGCGCATCACAGTTCTATGACGGTTGAGAATCGGCTTGGTTACGCTAATCATAAATAAAGCCACTGAGACATTATTCTATAGGAATCTATAGGAATCTATAGGAATCTATAGGAAAATTTTTGTCTGAGGGGTAGGCAACCTTAATAATATTTTGAAGATATATAAATTCCCCATTGAACTCCGAAATAATATACTGGGTGTTCCATTTAAAATAAAGGAGTAACTTGCTTTTAAAAGTGACTAATGTTCTATATTAATTTTGTCTCACCCTGTATAACTTTTTGGGTCAAATTTCAATATGGTTTAACATACAATGGTTACTGTAATTAAATATCAGGCTATACAAGGTCAACTAAAATTTAGGTAGCTGTTATCGAAATTTAAAATTTTCTCAAAATGTGAAATATGTCTAAATCTTTAGGTTTTAGGTAAATGGTTCTTTAATAAAACTCACCTTTATTTTTTTTCTGGAATCCGAAAATCAATTAATATATAGGGTGTTCCATTAGCAAAAACACAACTTTGATGTGTAATTTTTTTGGGGGACACCCTGTATAATTCTATATATTTTTATAAAATACTTTCAGTTAACCTACATATGCTGCCAATATTTAATTTCGATATAAACTACCGTTCTCCTTAGAGCTTCCGCGGCATATGAGAGGCGCCAGCCATCCTGCCCAAGTAGCATTGCGACCACATGTTTACTAAACACAACGTTGGATTAGTTACAAAAAATAGTTAGCTCCGTACCTTGGGTATTAAAATAAATGTAAACGTTGTTGTAACGTTGTGCCGACGTTGAACTAGTACTACAACAAAGTAAAAGCTTCTGCGACGTCGAATAAACGTTGTCTTTTAACCTTTTTTGCTTAAGTGATCTTTAGGTGATTCGGACAACGTAGTTACAATGTTGGGCAATAAAGAGTTTTCCGACGTCACTTTCAGGACCTATTCCAACGTTATGCAAACGTCGTCTATTTTACTAATTCCAACGTTGTTTAGATTTCCTTATTCTTACGTTGGAAGGACGTCGAGCCACTACCTTTTTGCAACTGTATTGAACCATAACCTTAAATCTTAAATTTTCACTTCATTGTTCTGTTCAGTCAGACAGTTCAGTGCTGTTTTGTTTTTATAAAAAAACTTAATTAAAATGAGACATAAGAAAGGTACATATAAAACTAAATTTAAATATACATCGACATATTACCGATACTTTATCCACTCCCTAGTTTATTTAGATTATAGAGGGCGGCACAATTCTAGGATGACTAAATTAGGCAATCTTGCGACTAGTATACTACTTGTTAAGGCTGAACTGCGACTTTATTAGTCCAGTATGCGACTACTCGAACTACTCCATCTTAATCTCCAAAATAACAAAGTGAAAGCCGCCATATTGTTGAATAAGAAAATGTTTCGTTCCTAAAATAGCAATAATTCCTGCTTTTTGAATACATTAACTTGAAATATTTGACCCTAAAAAACATGCGGAAACAATTTTTTCGACTGCGAATAAATTATTTTCATTTTACTAAAAAAAATCAAGAAATTTTTTAAAACTTCTTTAATTTTAAGGCCCATTAGTATTTTTCAAAGAAGAAACAATACATTTATCAATAAAGTTGTTTGCGTTTAACTTTTTTGCCTTGGGTAACGAGTTACAGAGTCGGTTAAAGTGTTTCAATAATTATGATCTTCAAACATCCTCCACACTTAAATACTTTTGTTTTGTTTTCCTTTACTGCCATCTGGCATATGTCTAACTAAATCATAAAAATAATATTTTTACTATAATTATCCCAATTTAGGATAAAACGCGACTTAGACGCCATGTTATTATAGTTTTGTATTTCTGTGAATTAGGATTTTAAACAACATTGCAGTTTGTACTAAATTAGGCTGCTAGCCAACGTCGGTATCCAACGTCCGTCGTTTCGACCCAAAAATTATTCTCCAAACTAGTGCAGACTAGGGTTGGCACGAGGTCGTGCCGACGTTACGCCCCGACGTTTGGTCGCGTGACACAACGTTGTCCCAACGTCCAAATGCTGCTTGGGTGTATATCGAGAGATTAATAAATGCAACATTTGTGTCATTTTAAAACGGTACAAAATATACAACAAAAATTCAGTAAGAAATAAAACTATCTATGTACCACGGGAATTAGAAAGTTTTAATAACCTCGGGCAATTATTATCCCTCGAGCCATAGGCCTTCGGGAGAGAAACTTTGCCCTCGATATTTAACACCCTTAAATTCCCTTGATACATAAATATCTATTTTTTAACATTGTTTAATTTTCAAAATGTTATAAAACAGTCATACATATTTTTTATTATATTTTTTTAATAAAATTTCTGTCAACTTAGTAATTTCAAATAATTTATTTTTAGGTGGAGAGAGGACCAGGTGGACAGAAATTACTACACATAAATATTTGAAAATATATTTTAATAATGATAAATATAAAATAATCGTAAATGTCATGTGAAATAATTTTATCGTTAATATAAATATTTTAAAACAGTAACAGTTTATGAATTTTATCATGCACTAAAATTCGAATATTTCATTTGGTTGGATTTTCCGTATTTTATAACTAACAGTCAAAATGAATTTTATTAAATAAAATCAATAAAATATTATTTTCGTTGTGTTAAAACCGATAATATATTTATTTTTTATACATTAGTTGAAGTTTTAGAGATACGTTCATATGCCAGGAATGAACGACTAGCGTCTACGTCCCACTAGTCTCCTCGGACACCCAACAATGTTGCCAAGTACTAGATCTTAATTTTCACTACATTTTATTCAAAGTAAGCGTTAATCAAATCATCTAAAAATGTTTTTACTATTTTTTTAAATCAAATATTATACACTCAGATGCAAAAAAAACGCAACGGGGAAATTTTTGGTCAAATTTAAAGTGTTATACTTTTATTATTTTTAGCCCTATATTCATGATTTTTTTTAAAAATGTATATAATTATATCAACTTTAATTCGTAAACTAAGTTTATTATAAACTTTAGTATTTGGCATATTATATACAGAGTTAATCGAGGAGTTGTTTTTTTACTTTACCCTAATTTTAAAACACCCTGTGCAATAATTTCGCATGTAAATTTTCCTAAAATATAATTTTACAGTTAGAACCATGTCTCCTGAGCATTTTATTTTTTGGATCATGTCAATTCATGCTTTGGTGAATTTTTGAGAGCGAAATGAACTTGCCACGATTAATTTGCAATTTTTTTAATTATCATTTCTTTTTGAAATTATTTTTCAATGTGATAAGTCGGCTTTGTTGATTATTGTGAACTATATACTACCATGAACTGCCCATAATGTATGACGTTTTGGAAATACTTGGTGGGAGGGTTAGAGGTCGTCTCGGAGGTCGTGAAGCGGTACCAGCCTCATTAAATGAACTTCGCTTGGTTCTTATAGAAGAATGGGAAAGCATACATGATATATGCAGACTGACGAATGAACGGACATATACAGGCAGTTATAGCAGCCAAGGGAAAGCATCACAAAGTATTTTATTTCTGTTTGTATACTTGAGTATTACAGATGTTTTCTTTAATATTGTTAGTTCTGTTATCGTTATTAATGTTTCTTAAAACCAGGCTGTATCGTTAGTCTTTAATGCTTTTTTTAAATTTAGTATAGAGTATCCATTGCTGCGTAATATGACGTTACGATTTACGACAATAACCACGAAAACCATCTCGTCATATTAAAGAATTACATCAAAAAGTAATGATGATATGTAAGTAATGATAAAGTAATGATATATTAAAAAATTACATCAAAAAGTAATGATGAATAACTAGAATATATAGCTTTACTTTATCAGCAATTATCTAATTATACCATATTGAATTTCTGTCAAACTTGCAATTAATCTTAAACCTGTTAAATTTTGTAGAAAACCACAAAAATGAAGTTACGAAATCCCAAGAAACAAGAAGCTTTTACACCAATTTAATAATTAAATATCCTTCTAAGAAAAGGCGATTAAGTATTAACCAAATTGTGACCTATCAGCAACTACTGATCTGATTAATATTCATTATATTCTTGGTTAATTAGCGGTTGCTCTCAAGTGATTCACGAAATTCTATAATGAGGCATTAAGTCGTCTTATTCCATTGAAATATACCGGTTGGCCACTAAATCCGTTCTGTTGTTTTTTGCTTTTCAAATATAATACACACAACCAAACTTATATGGAACCATCTATTATTTTTCATAATTTTTGAGACGTATCAAAATTTTGTGTTTATGAATAAAACTCAGTCCTTACCAATGACTTTTAATGAAAAATAATCCATGTAGCAATAAAAAAATCAGTTCCCAAAATAAACAAAAAGGTATTTTTCTGGTTTCTGAAACGAAATTAAGATTTAAATTTTTAATGACCAAAAAGCAAAAACAAAAAGAAAATTTATAATTTTAATATTCCTTGTTGTCACCTCTAGCCCTTATGCAAGCTTCTATTCGCGCTGGCATGCTTCTTATTAAATTATCAACGTTGTCTTGGGGTATGTCTTCCTATTCTGCTAATGCTGCATCAATAAGCTGTGCAAGACTTCCTGGATTGTTTCGACGAGCTCTAACCCTTCTTTTGAGCTATTCCCACAAGGTGTTCGATAGGGTTTAGATCTGGTGAACAAGCCAGTCCAAAACTATGACACCTTCCATTTCAAGACATTCTCTAGTCACTCTGCTGGTATGGGGAGTTGCACTATCGTACAAGAAGTTAAAATTATAACCAATTGTAGCTCTCCAAAGACTAACGATTGGGTCTAGCACCAAGTCAACATATCTCCGACCCGTTAAAGTTTGTTGAAGTGGTAACAATGGAGTTTTTGCTCCCGGTATAATACCTCCCCAGAAAATTATAGTTCCTCCTTTATATCTTGGTACAGATTTGGCAGCTTGAAATCGCGCTCGTCTTTCTGGAGCTCTCAGAACCCGAATTCGATGGTTATCTGATCTTAGGTCAAATCTGGTCCCATCCGAAAAAAAAATATATTTTGCCAATTCTCAGTTGTCCAGTTTTGATGTTGAAGGAATCAATTTAGCCTGTCAATTTTATTTTGCCGAGATAACTGTGGGATCCGTAACTCTCTCCTACTGTAAAATCCTCGAGCACGAATCCTATTTGTTATGGTTTCAACTAAAACGTTCACACCTGTTGTTGCCAGATGTTGTCTTTGTAGCTCTGGATGAGAAACATTGGTATTTATTCTAGCAATTTGGCCCACAAGGCGGTCTTGTTGTTCAGTTGTGACTTTTTGACGACTTTGTCTGGGCCTATCCTTGTGTGTTCTTAATTCCAAGTACCTTGCATATGTTTTCGATACATACAGTGCCCTGGGCCCTGGGTAACGCCTACTATCTCTGCTACGTCTCTTTGGAGCATTCCTTGTTCGGTGAGAGCAATAATTCTTCTCCTCTGTACATCTGTTATTCCAACATAAAGCATTTTTTTTTTTTTGGATCCAATGAAAATTACCGGACAATCGTGATTTTACTACTGAACACAAAATTCAAAAGAAAATAAACCGCAGCGGCCGTTTATTCTTTATTATCATGTTTATTTACAAGAAAAAGACTTATCTTAAAGTCTATACCAAGTTTTATCTTTGCAAGAAATTTAGTCAGAAATAAAGAGTGATTCCATATAAGTTTGGTTGTATATATTGGAAAATTGGAATCAAAAAATAGAGTTCTTTATAATTTTTTAATTGCTTTTCTTGTCAGTAGAAACTATGGATCCATTAGCATACACACACATATGGAAAATTATTAAAATTCGCAATGAAATCATTCTAAATGATCAAAAGTAGGTATAGTTCAAGCATTATATCTCTTATAATTTCTTAATTCTGAACTAAGTGCTATTAAAATGGATTTGCTTTAGGATAGTTACACTGTGAAGTATATCGACAAGATTATATACAATTGCAAGACTGATTTGTTGGTGATCAGCTTGAGGAAGATGCTCTTTTTCTCTTGACGATTATTGACAACATTTTTAAGAAATATCAGAAAAGATCAGACTAGTGTTAGAATGTTTTTTGGGGGGGGGGTTAGTCACCGCGACCTTACAGATCTATTGTGTGTCCCACTTTCTTGAGTTATAACGAGTTATAACTCATCATACAGTCTCAGCGTTTTGACAAAAGCCAGTATCTGAGACGGCTTGACAGAGGCTATTTCCCCATCTGGTCGTGGTTCTTCCGGAACTGGTCTACTTCTCTGTGATGCTAACTTGATCCTAGATATAGCAGTCAGGCACACTCGGAAGAGCTCCGCAATGTCAGGTGGGAATTATTCATTAATTACATCCAAGTCGGCCGTAGCAGAACATACCCTAAGAGATGGTGACCACAAAATCCAGTTCGAAGACACATAATAAATATGTAAAAATAAATATATAAAAATATGTAGAAATTAAAAAAAAGGATTAAAAAAAAGTTGCCTTCACTAGCATTCGAACCTGCCTTACTACGGTTCCAACGTCACAGCAGCGTAAAATCCTAACGCTTTAGCCACGCGGCCATCGAGGACTTGGAAGATTCTATGTAAAATTCTTACTTAAAAGATAATGTTTAGTGAAAGTACGTTTTTCTTTATAAACATTTATTTAATTCTGTTTTAAGTATTTGTTCTTATAGCGGCAACATAGATCTGTAAAAATTTTAACTGTCTAGCTATAACGGTTCATAAGATAGACCTTTGTGACAGACGGACGGACGAACGGATAGCGAAGTTAGTAATAGGGTTCCCGTTTTTTAGGTACGGAACCCTAAAAAGTAGTAGTATCTGTGTTGTTTAAGATAGATTTAGATTACTGATGGCTATATAATAAAGAAAAATACGATATTTTTATAAGTATGATTATTATTGATAATTAATTTATAAAGTTGATTAAGATGATGTATCGTTGATTTTTGCTTTGTTTTAGATTTACTTAAACACTCACACAAAGATCACTATCATATCAAAAAGCAAGACAAGAAATTCCTGGAGTGGATTATCCCGATAATTCTGTTCATCCAACTTTACTTCGTCAAAGTCGGATTCCACACTTTGCTGTTTGGATTAGTCGTCTTAAAGCTGCTCCTTATAAAAGCGGCAGTATGGCTGCCGTATTTAGCGTATCAAGTGAAGTACGCGTGCACAAAGCAGGGATTCCTCAAGGAAATTTGGGAAGGGCTGTGGAAGAGGAACATGGACGTGGAAAACTATACATTTGTACCGCCGCCGAATAATAATGTACTTTAAATAAAATATTTATGACTTTAAAAATTAGTGTTTTTTTATTTATTTCTAATCTACACACATGGCCAAAATTATTGCATATATCGTTTAAAAATATGCGGAAAGGAATTTAAAGAATCTTTTTTATACATAGCTTTGATAATCTGTAATAAACATTTTTTTGTTAAAATAGATATGGTAAACAATGTTTATCGTTCAGACCCAATATTATTA